GTGAAAATTTCATGTCATTAGCACCTCTAGTAATATATTTACTGAGAAAAATGGTGACGTGTTCAATACTTATTTTACCCGCTGTATATAAACACGGGGAGTTCACCAAAATTGAAATCTTCATTGAGCATTTGATTAATTATTACTTTTTTTTTGTAAAATATATGCGTATGTCAAACTTGTACAAAAGAGAGAGAGAGAGAAAAAAGAAACGTGGTAGACTATTGCTGCCTCCTCCAGATATGAGAAACCATGAGCGAGTTGTAAATGAGTGTGTGTGGGTGGAAGTGTATGTGGGGAGGGATGTTAGGCGCTGCAGAAGCCGCCCGCCTGTCTGTACTCACATTCGATGTACTGCTGTAGCTGGATGAAGTCGACGGGGTTCAGTTCCTTCACCTCTGGGTTTGTGGGGGCGGACATGCCTGCTTCTGCACTAACTGCCTGCCTGTGAGTACACACAGGCGAGGGAAACAGTGAGAGAAAAGAGAAGGTGGGTGAACGGCAGACAGCTTCTTTGTAAAACATAAAAGCACGGCTGCATGCAAAAGATAGCATCTTCCATCTTTCACCGGAGAAATCCATAACTGTAAACACCGAGGATTAACATCCTCGCCGAGTGTAACGCAGCAAGTAGAGAAAAGTAACGTGTGCACACATGAACCTTTTATTTTTTTCAACACATTTGTTTTAATAAAAGCTGTGCTGAAAGTATAAAAACACACAGCTATGCTTCTAAACGGCATCAGAACGTGTGACAAGCCGGTTAAAACTGGGTCTCTGAAATGATGTCAGCCAAACTGGGCCCCTGATGCTTAGACTCCAGGGACTCTCTGCACCTAAAATCTGCTCCTTTATGCTCACTGACCTGAATTAGACTAAAAAAGCAGATTAACAAAGTGATTAGTTAAGAGACTACCCAAGAGGGACGCGACGTGTCAGATAGAAGAGATAAACAAAACACCTTTTTTTTAAAAAAAGGTTGCAAACACTAAGCCGTCTTGAGGAGGGGGCCTCCCCTTTCACGTGAAAAGGAAGAAGACTCAAATGTCACACGAGGTCTAAAGTGAACATCTGCAGCTGACAAGAGGGTGATCCRAAGTGATCACCCGACACACACGCTGCTTTAAAGGTGGGAGTGTGGTGCCTGGACCAACACYTGAATGGTTCATTATGAAGGCTTTCACCAGTGTTTGAACCTAATGGAAGGAAACTGTATCACAACAGGAAAACAAGCAGTCACACGTTTGCCTCATTAATCATTAAAACAGAGAAAATGGAGTTAATGGACAGGTGAAAGTTGACATCCTGTTTGACGTTGCTGTCAAAGATGAATGTCAGTTAAAACAGCTCAACAAGAAATACAACAAATAATCACTATAAAACATATAGAATACTTGGAGTTAAATCAATGGTTTGCAACTTCGATAGCCAAGAAATGTGATCTTTCCATTAAGTCTGTGATAATAAGCATTATGAAACACAACCAACGATTCTCTGATTGATTCATAGCATCAACAGAAACACATGCAATAAATCTACATTATAACAGTGAATGCCTATTATTAACAAATTACTTAAAATATATAACTCTTTATCTTAAGTGCAACCTGCATCTTATGACAAACTATAAATATCAATGATGCTATGAAGTTAATACACTTTTCCAATAATCCAGTAAAACCACTTTAGCTGCACGTGCTAACGATTGCTGCATGAGATTGCAACAGTATCTTTGGCAGCTTTGTGTAAGAAAACATAAGGAGATTTAGTACTGTATAATTTGTTTTAATTGTGTAATCACAACACTCCGCACCAGGGTTGGTATGAATTACATTTCCATTTATAGCGTTGCCGTGCTCCAAATTAACAGTTCAACAGAAAGCAATAACTGCAGCTTTCCTTTGTCTGCCAGTTGATWAAGATCAAATGATCCTTTAAATGCTTACATACGGTTTGAAAACAGACGGCAAAAAGACAACGAAGTTTAAAAAGAGACAAAARAAAAAGATTGGAATCCTACACTTTCTAGTGTTGTGCTAGTAGTGTAGTGAAACACATTTAACTAACAAAAAGCACAGTTCAGCTGTCTGTTTTAAACTCTTAAGTTTTGCTACAGTTTGTCTCTGATGACTGAAGTCGATCCAGAACAATAAAGCTTTCGTCAGCTTTTAAAATTGGTAAGAGTAAAATGATGTGCATTTATAACATATAACCAAATATCTACAGGGTTCCCACGCCTTGGTCAACATCAAATTCAAGGCCTTTTCAAGGACTTTCCAGTACCAATTTCCTCAAATTAAAGAACCACGCAGAATGTTACCAATAAACAGGTTTAATATCAYGTAAATTCAATGAAAAACTGAATGCAAAAGTTGTTGAGTCAGAATCAATGACGTCAGTTTACCGTAATCCTGTTATCCACCGCAAATAATGTAAGGATTTTTTTATTTAATTTTATAATTTATTTTTTAAAAGATGATGAAAATCAGTCGTGTGAATAGAGAATTTCAATCCCCCAAAAAAAACATTCAAGGACTTTCAAGGACAAGTGTAACTTTTGGCTGTTTTCACAAATCATTTTTTTCAAATTCACAAACTTTCAAGGATTTCAAGGACCCGTGGGAACCCTGCATCTACATAAATTACCCTCCTGTTTGGTAAATATTTCAGATCAGCTCTGTTCATTTTTTTTCTAAACAATGAGACTCTTCAAAAACACAAGTACAAGAGGAAATATTCATCTCTAAAACTAGCTCAACAAAGAGAAAAACGCATGAGAAACCTTTATATGACCTACAGAGATATAAAATGAAAGCAGACTGATAATTTTTAACTGAGAGGTTGATGAAGTTCTGTACTGCAAGGCTTTTGTTCCCGTTTGTCCGTAGGTTTGATGCAGCTCCTGGTGACGGCTGCTTGCTCTGAACAATCAAAGTACTCAAACAAAAAAGAATGCACTGAGAAAATAACTGAAATAATGTGAAATAACATCCAATCCCCACTTGTCACTTGGATCCATTAGCTCTCCGTGGACTCTAAAAGGTCCACACTGTCCTCACTTAATTCCCCCAAAAGGTCAGCGGCGTTGCCTAGCATTTGTGTTTATGCAGCCAACGTGGTGGGCCAGGCCAGGATTGACAGCACATGAAGGAATCATGAAAAAAGCCCACTCGACTGATTACCRGCCTCAAAATGTTTACCCATCAAACATCCTCCTGACTCCATCTTCAAACATTGTCTTATAAATAAACTAAAAATAAGCTTTTGACTATATTCGGGCATGTCTTATTTTAGAAACTTCTTGGTGTTTTTCTTTCCCGAACTTTAATGCTCTCCAAAGCAGTGTGACATCAAGAGCAGCGTTGTGTTTATTTTTTCCTCTCTCCAGCTGAGCATCATTATTTTTGCCTGCTTCAACACAATCTTGAGCCTATCTGTGTAATCTGATTCCTCACTTCCTGATTAGATAATGATTTGCATGCACAATGCTGGGGGGGGGGGAATCAGGACCAGTCGGAGCACAGAGCACAGGAAGAACCATTCCATGCACTCAGAGGAGAAATGAATAGAGTGATCCATTCAGAGCCGCTCGTCTGCCGTCAGAAACGGTGGAGTGGACTTCTGAAAAACAATGGCATCAACTTAATGAGCGTACCGAAGTAGGCATAAATATTTCAGAAGGTTTTGAGAGGGCCCCAAGCTTGAAAAGACTAAACACAGACCATGTGACTGACTTAACTCTCAGTAACCGCTGGACTACAGTAAAACGGCAGCTGCTCGAAACATTCGTGTGGAAAAATACACACTGAGTGGAAGCGTGAAAGGTCTAAACGTGAGCACATTTGCTATCATTTACGTTGAGCTTCTCCACTGACAAACAGCCTGAGATAGAATTTTGTTTAAAAAAATCGCTGCTCCACATAATCAGTCCAACATATATTACGAGCAAATATAAAAACAAAAAACAGCACGGGCCAGTCTCACGCATGCAGTAACATCTGAGTATCAAAAAGCAACATTTATAACACGATGTTTCAGATAAAACATCTGTTTAAAACTTTATATTGCTTTTATGTCTGAAAGCTTAAAGTGCCTGTGACATGCATATTCTCCAAATACAAAAAGTCAAAGAAAACATCTTTATATTTAAGAAAGTTGGAATAACACACATAATTTAACCCATTTTGTCCCATAACTGGCATATTTTCTTTTGAGCTTGGCTCAGCCAAAGTGAAACAGGAAGTGACATCAAAGGGGAACTCTTTAAGAAAGAAAACTCTGGTCTTTGTTTATTAAAACAATATTATTTGAACTCTGACTCTTCATCTCTCTGATAGAGACAAGGAACATCAGATTCTTCTCTACAGTCTCTGTTAGCTGTCGTAGCATCGCTCTGTTTACATGCAGACATTCCCCTTTGACATCACTTCCTGTTGCTTCACAGGCAAATATCTCAACAACTGTTCATCTCAGCGGCATGAAATTTATTTTGCAACATTTTATCAATGTCCTCTTTCTGAAAATGCTCTCAAACGTATTACAAGAATTTGACGTCACAGGCACTTTAACTCGAAGACAGCTTCCTTTTAAACATGAAGTCAGTTAAGTGAAAGAGCTGGACGTAAAACTAACAACAAAATGCTCTATTTACAGGAATCATTTCAAGGCATACAGGGGACGACCTTTTTCCATGAGGGCTAATGTTTGTGTACGCAGTCATAACACCCCCGCATCTTGTCAAGGAAATCTGCTGTTTTTGCAACACTTGCAGAGTGAAGTCACTGACGTTGTCACTCTGTGGTTGGAAAGGATTCTTTAGGTTCTCTGAAAAAAAAAAAAAGAAGTGAAGTCTGTACCGCTGAGCTCTTCTTTCCCTCCTGTAATTACTACATTCTCTTCGGTGAAGCGTGAGCAGATTGCATCAGGTTAATAGAGGGAAAAGGACTGACATGCACCGTTGCTATGGAAAGAGTTTCCCTCCATCAGCTGCTCTTCGTCAAAGCACCGCCACGGGTGACTAACAGGTAGGAGGATCCACGGGCAGAAAGAGGAAGCAGCCAGTTCAGGCAGGGGGAGCCCAGCAGCTCGCTCCGAGTCTTCCCCCTTCAGCCTTCAAGCAGTACCACGGGCAGGCCGAGCCAGAGGCCGTGCTCCGAACTACATTCAACACGTTACTGTGACTCACTGCAGGGCAGGGAATACTGCTTTACTATAAATGGACTGTTAGCTCAACGGCTCACTTTCAGGTTGAAACAGAAGTTACAAAGAGCAACCAGGGAAAAGAGGCTCTTCTGTGTGGATTCAGACTTTTCTAAGAGGTTCAGAAAAATCTTACTTCAGCTGTTTTCAACATGTTACTTACTTGACTCACTGCCAAATGCAATGCAAGCCCTATTTACATACGTAATATGAACTGCTAAACTAAGTCGAGGAGCATTTTGGATAAGTGGATTTCTAAATAAAACGTAGAACGGAATCCACTCATAAATATAGACACCGCTTTTGGGAATAATCCCAAAAGCGGTGTCAAAAAGCAGTAATCCTTTGTACTCGTTTCTGAACATAACGTTTCAAAACAAGGCTTTCTCTTGTCTATAATGCTGTGGTAATTTCTGAGGAACCGGATGGTATGCAAACTACAGGCTGCACTTAGGAGAAGCACTGGATATAACAGAACACAATAAAAATAGACTGTAAATCAAGCCAAAAAAAAAAAAATCAACCACAGTATGAATCACCGATTTCTTGGAAAAGGTGGGTGAGGCTTCACTCACTCCCCAGCTTCAAAGTGAGGACTGCCCATCATTCTGAGTTCAGACTTGCATGTGACTTATATAATAGCTTTTCTTTTTTTCTTTTTTTTTACTTTTTTTAAATGTAATTATTTATTTTTGTGGAAGCAGTCTTGTAGAACAGCAAACTGTGCAGTAAAAAGGGAAAAGGGGTCAAACCTGACCAGACTTGCAAGGTATCATTATGTCATACAGCAACCAGTTGTTTTTGTGTCATAGTATTTGCAGGTATAAGGGGAGGCCTTGTCTGCTTTTCCCACGAAGTAAAACAAAACCACATTCCTTTTTTTATTTATCTGATTTTAAAAAATGGCATTAAATAATATTTTCCACTGTCAAATTAGTAATTTGAGCATTATGAATCATCAGGGAAAAATACTGAGGTGTTAAGTTGGTACATTGTTGGTACAAAGTATCACCTACTATATATAACGTAACTGCAATTATTTAAATGTATTGTAATGTTAAAAAAAACATTTCACAAAACATAGCAGTTTGGAGGATAATTGAATTTGCTTTAAAAAATAATGAATGAAACTAAGCCCAAAATAAGAGCTCCCTTATGATGTTTTATAAATTCCATATTCATATTTAGCAGTTATTACAGGATTAGGGTCAGAAGAGGATATAACGAGGGAATTTGGGGCTAAATATAAAATAGAACTGCTAAATTTATAAAAGCTAAATAATCCACAAACAAAAAAAAATCTTTCCGACCATTTCCTAGAGCAGTGGTTCCCAAACTTTTTTATCTTCTGACCCATAAACTATCCATGGCAAAAACCTGTGACCCCAAATACTACTGATCTGAGTACACAAACTTCATTAATAACCCTAAAAACACAGGCTTTTTGACAATCTAAACAGCTTGTACACAAATGTAAATACTTATTTATACTTA